GAGTGGCTATCAACCTCCCCCTTACTCCAAGATCTAATATTTGGAATAGATAACTAAATGGTAAAACCTCTCCTGATAATATATTTCTAAAATAACTGATAAAACTTTTTATTTTTTGCGTTTTTTATACTAAAATTTGTACTTTCTTAATATTACAAAATTAGTTTGGAGGACATTTTTTTTCAAAATTAAATGCACTTCATAATTTCTTTTAGGCAGGTAAATTGGATTTTTTTAAAAATACCATGTATAATATATATATAACGTGGTGTTTTTTAAAAAAAAGTTAGTACAAATCCCGTAAAAATAAATATCTGTAGTAAAAAAGTAACATGGCATAGTAACATTAATAGCTTCTATAATAGTCATAGCTTTGCATGACTGATGTTGAAAAATATTTGTACGTAACACAATATTTTAAGATTTTATCATATCAAATAATAATTTTCTTATAACTTTTAGTTTACAAAAAGAATCTGAAATTTATGCTTAATCAAATTTTTACAGTATAATAATTATTATGAACTGGCCAATGAGCGAAAAATATTCAAACGCGACCCTAAATAAAATTATTTAGTTGAAAATTTGATTAATTTTTTATGAATTTGTCAAGTAAACAAACAAACTGGATATAATTAGCAGATGAAAATCGATATATAGTTTTTACAGTGTACATAATTGTTTTTTTATTGATATGGTCGATAGGATATACACTTTTAAAAGATCATACTTAACAATATAATTATTAAAAAGCTAATTAAAATTGTGTTCCTATATATTTTTTACAATAACTAAGTAATAAGTAAACAATTTTAATTTATTATAATAAAAAAAATTAAATACGTCTAATGGGACCAAACTATAAAGTTTTTATAAATTATTATTATGCAATGGAAGTCACGACCACTCCTAACGCCATTGACTGCAATAAATCTCGTAAATTAAGTTATAAGCAAAAATAGGTTTGTTAAAGATTTTTTTAACTATGATTTACCTACTAAAAAATCGAATCTATACCCCTGAAAAAAATATAAAAAAAGGTTTATAGAGTACATATTTAACACTATATATAAAATTAATTATGAAGTTTCCGTTAAAACAATAATAATATTTTAGGCATGCTACCTTTAATATATTTAATATTTCTCTGTATTTTTTAAAGATATTTTCAATGACAATCACCAAAGATGACATTGATTCTCAACAACGTAAGCGCAGTTCAATCGATATGAAGAGCAACTTACAATCGGAATATACAATAGGGAGTAACGATTTCATTCGTAAGTTATTATGTCTAATTTGTTTTTAATTAAAAGAAGTTCAGACTTCTTTATAGTTTTTATACTATATCATGAACTAAATTTTACTTGCAATAGCTATTAAAATTTAATTATAACAAAGAATTTGAAATAAATATAAGAAATCATTTTTACTTAGCTTCAGGATTTCAAATTAGAAACCTGTTTTATACAAGATACTTTTAGCTTCGATGCGAAGCTGAGAAGTTATTAATTTTACCATGATGTGTTTTTTTTTTGTGTCTGTTACCATTTTTTCTTAGCTCTCATTGACCGATTTTGATGAACAATATGTCAAGAGATCACAAATCGTATCTAGTTGAAGACATTACCCTTAAAAATTGAGAAAATTTCCCTCGTTCCCCGTAAATGGGGAAAACCCCAAAAAATTACAATTTTAATAATTGGCAATTTTTGACATTTTTTCAATTTTTAGCTTCGATGCGAATTGGTTTTACTAAGATGTGTTTTTTTTTTTGTGTCTGTTACCACTTTTTCTCAGGTCTCATCGGACCGATTTCTTTCAACGATACGTCAAAAGATAACAAATCGTATCTAGTCAAAGACATTACCCTCAAAAATAGAAAAAATTTCACTCGTTTCCCGTAAATGGGGGAAACCTCCAAAAAAATTACAAATTTAAAAATCGCTAATTTTCGAAATTCTTTTTTCTTAAAACTGCTATTACTTTTTTAAAAATGAACAAATCAATATAATTTTTTTTTTATAGATGCTTGATGTCTTTACCTATCATTTGGTAATTTTTTTTTTATAAATTTAACCCTTTATCTGCCTACAGGGGGGATTTAAAATGACAACTTTTTCACAAAAATTAACTTAACTTTTGAAAGTTTTCCGGAAGGTCTGACGCTTTTATATCTTAAATTAAAGCTAATGTAATATACTTTATTATGGAAAAAAAAAATTCGGACTTTATTTTATCTTCACGGTGAAAATGGCTACCGAATGCTATTATTGTGTGAAAATTCTCGATTTTATTTTTTACATTTTTAACTTTATAATGCTATGACATATTGAAAAGTGTATGGATCAACATTATTTTTTTATGAGAAATAATATTTTTTAATAATCCCTTTTTCATTCTACATACTTTATCTTAATTAGGATATTAATAATGAATTAGCAGATCATGTAGCTTTTGGAATAATTCACCAATTTTTTTTACTTTAAACTGCCATATCTTTTTCAAAAATTAATAAATCAAATTAATTTTTTCTTTCATTTTATGTCATTTTTTTTAAAATTTAACACTTAATCTACTCACAGGGGAGTTTTTAAAATAGAAACTTTTTTACAAAAGTCAACTTTTGAAAATATTCTGGAAATACTGCATCCTTTAAATGTATATTAAGTTAATACTTATATCATGTACTATAAAATGAAAAAAAAATGTTGTCCCGACGAACTATGTTTTATGTGCAAATGACCGTCAAAATTGAACAAAAATGTAATCATCTTGTTAAAAATCAATGTTATCTTGATACTTAAAACTGCTATAGCTTTTTGAAAAATGAATGAACCAAAATAATTTTTTTATACAAACACCTTACGTATTTTCTTTAAATTTAAAGTAACTTTAAAATTTAAATTAGCTTAAATTGCCAATTTTATCAATTGACGAAAGCGACGAATAGTTGCCAAATTGGTAACACTTGTGTCTTTCACGCTTAGGGTACGAGGTTCTAATTCGCCTGTGACAATTAATATTGAATTTTTTTTGAGTAAGAAAAAAATGTTTACCACATTTGATTTTTATCTCATTTAGATTCAATAACTTCAATAAATATCAAGGATCCCATCAGTGTAGTCTCCCCTCGTGAGAAGAAATTTCTTATTCATGTCAATATTATTTTATTATGTATTTTTTTTTTGTGACAGCGATTTATTTTTCCAAACCTCACTTAACCTACTTTTTTCAACGATGTGTCAAATGATTATAATTCGTATATAAATAATATACCCTCAAAAATTAAAAAAAAATTCCTTAATAAAATAAAAAGTAGCTTAAGCAGCTTCTTCATACAAACAATTAAAATAATTTGTAATATTTTTAAAGCATTTATTGTCGAATTAGATTTGATAGAATAAAAGTATTTAACTACAAAAGTAAATAATTTTACTTTGTAATTTATTAATTTTTTAACTCTATATGTGTGTGCTACTACCAGTCTATAACATTCCAAATTTTTTGGTAACATGTTGCTGTATAAATCATAAATCTAAATAAAAAATTATTTTTAGTATCACCTGAATTTAACAATGAATTTTTACAATTTTAATCAAATTTTATATTACGCCCACAATTGAGTCGATTTTTTAACAACTTTTTGAAAAGTTTTTTTAGTTTAAGTAAATCATTAAAATTAATTTAGTTCTACATATTTCAATTGTAGAATTTTTTTAAACACCAAAAGTTAATTAGAAATGATTACTATAATTTAAATTACCGTGATCTATTAGAATAAAAATGCAAAAAGAAATCGAGCTTTCCTGATAAATTTATTGTAAATAGTGATTATAAAATTTCCTGACTGCATATTAATATTAACAATACCATTTTTTTCTATTAAATTATGTCAATTTCAAACTTGCCAGTTGAGCTAAAAGTTATGGTAATAAATAAATTTTTTTTTTATTATAAACTTTCGCTTTAAAGGACAAAAATAAGTAAAAATAATACTACAAAAATTTTTAGATTTTTTATTTTGGTTTACGTATACTCCATCCGCCTTAATTTATGTATTAAAAACTTGACTAGTTTTTTTAAAACGCAGGTTCTGTCATGTAAATGACAATAAAATAATATGCCTTCTTCTTCTTCTTCTTCTTCCAGCTTTAAAGGCCATTAAGGCCCATTGCTACAAAACAAATCTCCTTCCATCTGTCTCTGTTCATAGTCGCTTCAGTAATATTGTCTATCCCAAGTTTATTTAGTTCTTTTTTATTTTTATCCATCCATCTCTGTTTCGGTCTTCCAATTGGCCTCCTTCCTTGAGGAATCCATCTTAATACCGCATTTGCTATTGACTTAGCCCTTAGTACATGTCCAAGCCAACTCAGTCTCTTGTGGCGTATTTCCGCTATTATGTCTGGTTTTCCGAATAATTCCTGCAGTTCTCTGTTAGTCCTAATTTCATATGTTTGGTCTTCGTATCTTTTTGGTTCATAAATTCTCCTAAGGAATTTCCTCTCCATGATAGCTAGTCTATTCTCATCTCCTTGGGTCGTGGGCCATGTCTCACATGCATACATTATCACTGGTCTAGCTAGTACCATGTAAAGTCGTTCTTTTGATTTTTTCGACAGTAGCTTCGACCCCAGCAACCCCGAAAGGGCGTAAAAATATTTGTTTCCAGATATCGTGCGTTTTTTTATTTCTTCGTGGTTGTCGTTTGTGCTACTTAAATTAGTGCCTAAATATTTAAAATTATCTACCTCCTCAAACATATATCCTCCGACCTGTAATCCAGCTGCATTTCGCATCTGACCTTTGTTCCTACCTATTCGCATGTATTTTGTTTTAGTCTCGTTAATGTTTAGTCCCCGTTTTTTAGCACTTCGTATCAGTAATTCCGTTGCTTTTTGAATATCCTGCTCACTTTCGCCTAATATTACCACGTCGTCGGCATATGCTAGTACTGGAAGGTTTCGGCCGCAGTTAATTCCTTGATATTCTTCTTGTACTTCCCTTACTGCCATCTCTAGTACTATGTTAAATAGTATTGGTGATAGTGCATCACCTTGTTTTAATCCTGTTGTTGTTTGGAATTCTTCTGATTTCTCGTGACCAAATTTGACTACGCATCTTGAACCTTCCGTACTCACTCTGATCATCGATATTAGTTTTGATGGGACTCCTAACAGCTTTAAGCATTTCCATATTTCTACTCTTTGTACGGAGTCATATGCTTGTTTAAAATCTATAAAGATTAAATGTAAAGGTCTGTTGAACTCATAGTATTTTTCTATTACTTGTTTAAGCGTGAAAATATGGTCTATTGTTGATCTGCCTGACATGAATCCACTCTGATAATCTCCTATGATGTTATTGGCGTATGGTCTTAATCGGTTTAGTAGAGTGTTCGATTGAATCTTGTATATGGTATTAAGTAAGGATATTCCCCTATAATTCTTTACATCCATGGGGTCCCCTTTTTTATATATGGGGCATATTATCGATAGGTTCCATTCCGGTGGAATCCTTTCAGTTTTCCATACTTCTTTTAATAGGTCCCATATTTCCTGCGTTAGTTTTTGTCCACCGTTCTTCAGGAGTTCAGCCATGATCGAGTCTTCTCCTGGGGCCTTATTATTCTTAAGCATTTTAATGGCCACTTCTATTTCTTCTTTACTTGGTATTTTGTCTTCAGGTTCTGCAGTTTGGTATGTTGTACTCTCTTCGGTTGTATCCACTGGTTTTCCCAATAACTAACCCAATAACAATTGGTAACTAACCAATTTAAACGTCTCTGTGAATTCTTCGCAATCAAAAATAATATGTCTACCTTATAAAATTCATAACATTTTCCATTTTTTGAAATAATTCTACCGGCTTCATTATTTTTTCCAAAATAGCGTAAAACACCTTCTTCGTGATTACGTGTTTCCATGAACACTGCTTCTTCAATAGCTGTTACTTCAAGTTCTGGCGTACGATTATTTGGGTGATCATCCTCGGTTATAATATGGGAAGTGCAAAGTTCATTTACATCTTCATAAAGTCCATAGTTTCCACAGGAATCTTATCGTCATCACTCTCTTGTTTTATAGTAAACATACCACCTACTGACACTACATTTTCAATATCGATATCTTTAATTTGCGTTGTAATATATTCTATGTGTTTAATATCTAGACGTACATCACCTGACGTAATTTCTAATTAATATTTTAAATTTCATTATTATTATTGTCTAAACAATAATTACAAAATTGTATATTTTTCATAAAATTAATATAATATCGTACTAAAATTTCTAAAGTGTATTTTTTTATAGTTAATTGTTACAATAGTGACACTACGGGGAAAGCTCAATATATTATTACATTTACTAAGCAACTAGACTTAAATAATTAAATCTAAGGCTAGATTTGTTATATGGTCAAAAAATTAATTGGGACTTAGTTATAATGATTTCAAATTAAAATATTACGTAGAACAGTGTTATTAATATTAATAGTTGTACTTAAAAAATTTAATTATGATATTTTAATAAAAATTTAATCACTTAAACTTGTATAATTTTTGTATATGAAAAATCGTAACAAGTACATTAAGTAATTGAAAAATTAAGGTGGTAATTAATTAAGTAATAATATATTTTTAAATATATATATATATATATTTAAATATCTTAGAAAAAATGAATATATTAATAGAATATAGAACGCTTCTATGACCAAAATAAATTTATCCGTTTTATTTCAAATGACAAAAGGTACAGTGCTACCAATTAGTGATGAGCAGTGAGGCCAAGGCGAAGTTTTTTTGTTCGTAATTCTAAATTTCATTTTGAAGGAAATAACCTTAGGTTATTTAAAAAATCGAAATTTTGTTTTGAAAAGTAATATTGTGAGTAATTTGTCTATATTTTACAAAATAAAAGCATCGAATTAAAAAACTCTGATATTAGGAAATTTGTTTTATTTTTCAATCGCGCATAACTTCTTCATTTTTTTATCAATTTTACAAAATAATATATCATTTTCTTTGTTATGTATTAGAGTATAACATCTATTAAAATTATTGTTGATAAATTTATTTTTTATTGGTGTATTTTACGTAAAACTCTGAATTTTTTCTGACATTTTGAAAAAAATTATAAAAATTCAGTGGTAAATTCGTAGATAGCAAACGACAAAAAAGTCAAATAAAAAATTGTTTAAGATAAAAGTTATAGGTAATTTAATATTGTTTAATTTTATGTAAAAAAAATGAAAATCGGTTGAATGCAATTAAAGATATTTAGAATAAAATGAAAACGTTTTTTCGCGGTACACGAAAAACGCTAATTTCGCAATAACTCAAAAACTGTTCTACTTTTTGTATTTTGGACTTCATTTTCGGACTCAGTGGACGATTTTACATAAAAAATGACTATCATAAGTCATAGGTCAGAAAATTATTTTTTATTTGTTAATTTGAAATTATTAATCTTTCAATTTTTAACTTAAGTGAAATATTAACAATATTAATATATTAATCAGCGATGGATAGGTTATTTTTGAATTGCTGGAATTATTAGATTATTTATACTATACTTATTTAATATAAGTTATTTTAAATAACTCTAACCAACATTTTTTTTTAATCATTTTTTACTCTTGATAATTTATGAACGAAAGCGAAAGAAAAATAGAAGGCCCCGTTAGAAAATAAACTATATCATTGTTAGAAATATATTAGTAAAATCCCATTTTTTCGTTAGTCCTATTTACTCTGCATTAATTATCTTTTTTAGGATCAATCCCGTATTAATGTTTCTTAGATAAACTTTAAATAGCATTTGTTTTAATTAAGCAAAATAAAGATTACGGCTATTAATCGGATAACTAATGCTAAGTAGCATAGTAAAAACGTAAATTTATAAGATTTTTAATTATAGAATGTTCAGCACCTCTGTTTCACGCCAAAAATATCATAAACTCTAAGTGTACATTAAACCTTAATTGAAATAAAAACTTTCAATATTTAAGAACTATTACCTTTAATAAATCATACATTTTTCAATAATTGAAAGTTGACAAAGAATTAACCTCTGTAAAATGAATAGACGTGACCTTGTAACGATATTGTTTTATCATTGTTTATTATTACTCTTAAGCTGAAATTTTGTAATGTTTCTTCGTTTTAGAATATCAACGATTCAAATAATGTTAATGAATTTTATTTCAAATTTGTTATAGTTGTTGATGAAGTTGATGAAAGAATAAAAACTAATGTGAAAGAAAAACTACAACTAATTTCACCATGTATTATTAGCAGTTCTAAAACAGTATTTACTTATAAAAATATCACAAAACGTTTACCAATCCTACAATGGCTACCTAAATATTCAGCTGAAGATGCTCTTGGAGACTTATTAGCTGGTATTACTGTGGGACTAACTGTTATTCCACAATCGATGGCTTACTCTTCTCTTGCTGGATTACCTCCGGAAGTAATTGAAAAATTTTAGAACATTTATAACTTGATTTTAAACCATTATATTTCCTTGATTTATCGAGAAACTTATTCTGGCTAAAATTGAAGTATCCTTTTGTTATCTTGGTTATTAAACTAACTAAATAAAATAGAAAGAAATATTGAAAGAGGCTTTATCATTTCCATTTGTGTATAATAATTAAGAAAAATTTAAAAAAGACAAACTAAAAAATTTAATTCATTGGAGCATTCAGGTGAGTGTCAGGAGTGCTTAACATCTTTAATGGATGATCTAGTATTCCCATTTTTTTTAAGAATCACATTTTATTCAAGGTGACAAGCTATAAAAAACATTATTTTCAAAATGTTTTAAATCTTCTTGTTAACTTCTATTGATTTTAGCAGTCCCAAAATTTTGACTGAATGTACGCCTGTTTTAGAACCAATATTATTACATAGAAACAGTGTTTTATACTTGAAAAAGGATTGATATTAATATTATCCAATGTTAATAATTAGTCTTAGAAGGCCGACCCTAAGTAGTTGGGATTAAGGCGAGGAAAAAGAAGAAGATTAATTAGTATTAGAAATTACAATAATTATTATGGTTTGTTAATTATACATTTTCAAATTTCACTCTCTTACCTTTTTCAAATATTCAAAAATTCGCAAAACCGCTAAACACAGAAGAAAACGATATTGTAACCTATAGGTAAAAAATCAAAATGAATTATGAAAAAAATTAAACTTGTAGAATAAGAATGCTATATAGTATATAGTATATACCATAACAAATTATAATAATGTCCCAACTTATAATAATTATTATTATTTGGATCCTTAGTATAGGAACTTGGCCTATCAAGGAGCCTGAATCAAATTTTGATGTTTTCTTTAGATCTTTAGTTTAAGAAAAAATAAATGTTTAATGTCCTGTCTGGTCCTGGGTTCTAAACTTAGGAGGAGGTTTTATTACACATTATTTTCTTTTTTGACATTCTTCTTATCGTTTGTAAATTTAATTGGTTGTTTTATACAATTAAAAATGACTTCCCGCAAAGTTGTGTTCGAATGGTTTGTGCTTTTAAAATAGGTAGGTCCTACCATCAGACCTATCCACTGGTGACACCACTCCTTATAAATTCAAATACATAATATGAAAATAAAAAATATATTTTTATTATTTAGTAATATTTTGTAGTTTGGCCTTTATGGCTCTTTTGTTGGATGTCTGATGTACGTATTCCTGGGAACGTGTAAAGACGTTCCTATGGGACCAACTGCTATTGTTTCATTAATGACTTATAATACACTTCATGGTCTTGGTCCAATATACGGAACTCTTCTTTGTTTTTTATCAGGTGTTATTCAACTACTTATGGGAATCGTAGGACTAGGTGAATATGAAACATTATTTATAGCAAATTAAAATTATAATATTTCAATAAAATGTTAAAAACAAAATCTAAAGGTTTCTTAATTGACTTTATCTCGGGACCAGTGAGCTCAGGATTCACATCAGCAGTAGCTATACTTATTATCGCATCACAAATAAAAGATTTAATAGGTGTTAAAGGCGGTGGATCTACGTTGGTTGATATGGTAATTTCTATGTCTAAAGATATAGAAAATTACAGTCTTGGGGATACAATGATTGGAGTAACTTGTATTATTATAATACTTCTGTTACGAGTAAGTTTTTAATGATATTAATTGAATTCTAAAATATAAATTTTGTTTTTTTAGGGACTAGCATTATTTCGAATTGGATCAGAAAACGTAAAAGAACAAACGCCTTTACAGAAAATGCTTAATCGTTCTATGTGGCTAATTGGTACCTTTAGAAATTCAATTGTAGTAATAGTATGCAGTTACATTAGCTATCTTTATATCCATAATTTGGGTCATGATGTTGAATCTCAACTACTACCTTCAGTTCCATTCAAAGTAATAGGTACGTAATTATGACTCAATAATTATTAATTGCATTTAACTTTTAATTTTATTAGGTAAAATACCCTCTGGAATGCCCAGTATTGATTTTCCACAATTTAGTATTCAAAATGGTGCCACTACAATAGGTTTCTTTGAAATGGTGTCGAAAATGGGATCTGGAGTCATTGTTTTGCCATTAATTGCACTACTGGAAAATATTTCTGTGTGCAAAACATTTGGTGTGTATTTATAAAAAAATGATTATTGTTTCGACATTTTTAATTCTTAAGATAATATTTAAGCTAATGGTAAAACCATTGATGCTACTCAAGAACTGGTTGCTATAGGATTGTGCAATATCGGAAACTCATTTGTTCATGGGTTACCTGGATCAGGATCCTTTTCTAGAAGTGCTGTTAATAACGCTAGTGGAGTTAGAACACCTATGGGAAGCCTTTATACTGGTAAAAATATCGTGTTTTAATTAAATTTTATAATTTGGTTACTTTTAAATTTGCCCATAATTATTTTAGGTGTATTGGTAATTGTAGCGTTAATGTTTTTTACACCATATTTTTACTACATACCCAAGTCTGTTTTAGCTGCAATCATTATAGCTGCAGTTGTTTTTATGGTTGAAGTTCGTGTAGTCAGACCCATTTATAGATCAAAAAGTACTTAATTGTTATTTGAATTATTTTCGGATTTATCTAATACCATTTAAGCGTCACTTGATAATAACTATAGCTATGTCTTGAAAAATTAGTTCACTCTGAATATAGATAAATCCGAAAATAGTTTTTGAACTACATTAATCCATAAGAATTTTAACACATAAATACTCTTTATTGTATTAAAATATAAAATAACTAATTATATATTTTTAGAAAGTGACCTCATACCTGGACTAGCAACCTTTTTTGCATGTTTAGTGTTGCCTTTGGAAATAGGAGTTTTAATAGGAATTGGGTTAAATTTGGTATCAATTTTGTATCATGCAGCAAGACCAAAAATTTTAATTGAAGTGCATAAGGTATAATACATTTTGTAAACATTTGTGACTTTTTTCTTAGAGAATTAAACTTATAAAATGTGTTTTTATTTCTCATGATGTTATAAGGTAAATTTACTTAGGTACAAGAAATTCAGGTTATTTTTAATAAAATATGAGTTTATCAAAATAAGTATCAGCTCCGCTTTCCATGTGCTTGGCCTATATTTGTTAATATCCATGTTTTTTTCTATCTAGTTAAATGAAAAAACATTTCTCTGTTGACCATTTTAAATCCAAGCAGCGTTCCTAATTAGGAACACGTTTTGCAAAACTCTAAAATTTATTAACTTTAAAAAAATGATATCACTATGCATCCGTCCATGTTATCAGTAATGCTGTATTTACCTATAAGCCTACTCAAGTACCGAATGAATGTCAGCATTTTATTAGTATCTTACAAGTAAATAGCCCCTGGTTACTAGTACATGGTTACGATTACACCGGCACACAAAAAAAAAAAAGTTGTCTGTACTTTTGACCGGACCCACCTACGGACATGTATTTTGATCCGTTGAATCCGAATTTGAAGTCCGTTTGGCCCGGTCACCCTTCAGATTTGAGTAAAATGCAAAAAACCAAAAAATTGGCCAAAAATTCCAAAAAACTGCAATCAAAGCGATGAAAAAAATTTTGTTGACCCTGATCAAGTATGATTTTCATGTATTTCAATTTACTGAAACTGAATCTGAACGTTAATTAGTCCGTTGAATCGTCAACATTTGAAAAATAACAAAAAAAAACCCAAAAATTGCAATAAATCATGAAAAATCAAAATTATCGAGATGAAAACAATTTTTTGGATTCAGATTGAGTTATAAATATGAAAAAAAATTTATAAAACACAATTAAATACTTTTCTTGTATTTTTTCACGCATAAAATAGGAGTTTAGATTATGAAAATATAAAAAATTGTAATATTTATAAAAAAAATGACTAGAATGAAGAGAACGATTTTCTCGAATTTTAACCTCTTTATGCGCGAGATTTTTTTCCTTAATAATAAAATATTTAAATTGCAAATCAAATAGATAATTATCTTATGATATTAGTAAAAATAAAAAATAATTTTTTTTTTTTGATTTTGACTTACTAAAAATAAGGTTTTAGTATATGATATCATATGATCATCGTGCAATATTTGAAAAAAAAAATATTCATATTATTTAATTTTATCTAACATACTTTATTTTATATTAAAAAGAAAAAAATTACAAACATTAACTTTTAGAAAAACTTCATAAATTATAATCATAAAATTAAGTTCATAGAATATATATAATAAAACAAATTTTAAAAGATCAATATTGAATAATAATAAACAAATAATATTTAAAAAATTATAAATAAGACTAGGTATTTTTCTTAAATTTCAGACTTCTGATAACTTCAGTTTTTTAACTGAATATAAGTTTTATAACATATTTTAAAAGTATTTAACAAAATAATATATACTGTAGTCAATTTTTTATTAATTTAGTGTGAAATGCTCTCATACATTCTGGACATACAGCACATTCTGAATCACTAGGGATTTCTAAATCAAAAAAAAAAAAACTATATCCTTATCTCTGAGATCTATTTTCAACTAGAAAAAAAAACATTATAGTATAAATTGTTATTATTTTTCTTATAATAGGCACAGTGGTATCATACAATACCACATGGTACCTAAGCAATTTCGAATACATAACAACATTATATTGTTTCAATATTGCCAAATATGAATAGATCATACTATATTATGTAATAAAAGTAATTAATTATAAATATACTTACATTATTTGATCGTTAATTATATATAAAAAAAAAGTAAAATTTGACTTTTTCAAATGCACAAAACAGTTTCGCGTTTATTAATATATCTCTTTCAATGATAACACAAATGATAACATAACCAAGTAGACCGTTGCGTAACATTCCGTACATTAAACGAAAACAATAATAACATGGCTACCACAATTTTTCGATTTTATATAAATTATACAATTTAGTGATATCATATGATGCTACCGTGCATGAAGAAGTTAAAATTCGAGAAAATCGTTCTCTTCATTCTAGTCATTTTTTTTATAAATATTACAATTTTTTATATTTTCATAATCTAAACTCCTATTTTATGCGTGAAAAAATACAAGAAAAGTATTTAATTGTGTTTTATAAATTTTTTTTCATATTTATAACTACAATTTTCCTGATTTTTTTGGTTTTTTGAGATTTTAATTTCGATGCGATGCTGAGAAGGTATTGGTTTTACTAAGATGTGTTTTTTTTTTTTTTT